ATGATAAAGTAAAAACTAAAAAGTGGAAAATAATTAAAATTAAAAAATCCTTCTTTCAAATACACTAATAAAAATGTGTTTTTAAAATCTTTTTTATGCGCTTTAGTATTTCTATTTTTGGTCCAAAAATAAAAATATATTTCTCTTAACGGTGCAAAACAGCCCAGGGAAAATAATTTATTTCAGTTTTTCACCAATAATTTGTTTCAGTTTAACGCCACCTGCTATTGAATTTGAAAAAAATTGTTTACAAAATTCAGATTATATAATAATGAATTACGATATATTCGTATAAAGACTAAAAAGTAGGAAATAATTAAAATAAAAAATTCCTACTACTAAGTACACTAATAAAAATAATCTTTTTGAAAACTTTTTATTAGATTTATTATTTCTATTTTCAGTCTTCTCTTAAAGGCCCAAAACTGTCAGGAGAAAATAATATGTTTCAGCTTTGCACCAAGAAATCCCAGAAGTCCATAAATGAAGTGATTTTGATTTTACAAGAAAAATAGCAAACAAGTGTAGATAAAAAAAACAGGACATATTTGATTTGACAAACATTTCAAATGCAATGAAAAAAGGGAGTTAGTATTTTATTGTTGTTCACCAATGTGCTAGGAGGAGGTACGGATTTTCTGATCTCAGTGGTTCTTAACTTCCGACCACTGTCATTTCTAAAAAGAAGTGTCAGAACAAAATATAGTTCCCTAATAGTTCATATTTGTTGATACGGCATTCCAAAATGTTAGTTTTCATGTGTGGAATTCCTTTGCATTTCAAAGTTACAATACATCTTCGTGCAGCAAAATTCCATGTTCATGCTTTTTTAATTATTATTTCGAAGAAAATAATGCACAAATGAAAATAATGCAAATTGGAAAAAGAAAGTCGTCATCGTATCCATAGTTTTAATTAATTACATTTAAATACCTTATTAAAAATAATTATTTTGTTAATAAAGATAACACTATCACTCATTAATTAATGAAACAAGACGCCCTTGTTTTCATTCTTTATGCTTCCAAATTACGTCGTCGAATCGGTGTCATTTTTTCAAAAAAGGAATAAAAGATACCTCTTTTTAAAAAACGAAAACCCAAGACAAATTCCAGCACCAAGAAGTTTTATTTATGACAAAACTGACAGAGACACTGACAGTTTCTTATTTATTGCAGTCAAGATAACTATGAACTGCAGCTGGGGGGGGGGGGAATGTTACGCAGGAAACAACGGTTACAGGGAACAAAATAAACTCCTCTTTCAGTAATGAGCGAATATGTCTTGGCCAAAAAAAAGAGAAAACAGTTTTCTTCGCTGTTGCAATTAGATGTAAGAAAATATTTTGAGTTGTTCTGTCACATAAAAAATAAATAATAACGATAAAATATTCTCTTTTTTGCGATGAGTGTTCTGATGCTGGTAGATAATTATTTTTCATCCAGAGATGTGGGAACAAAAAAGAAAAGTTATAAACTTCGTTCGACGGGGAAATGTCTGTGAAGTTTACAGTTCAGACACTCTTTTATAAAAACAGAAAATTACTTCCTTGTTTATATTCTTTATTTTCTTATTATTTTTTGGGCAAAAGATGATGCAAGATTGTTTCTGCTTCTATTACTGATGCATTTAAAATTAAAATTCTTGCACAAAATCTTTTTATTCTACAAAAAGTTTGTAACGTGTTTTTAAACACTTTTATCTAATTTGAAATGTTTTCAAATATGGGATTTTGTAATCGCTTTTACACCCATTTCTGATGTACTAGAGTTTTGAAATTGTGTACGCTTGTATATTCTCGGTCACCATACAACATTTTAATAATTTCGTAACTTTATTTTCAGTTAATCGGATCATTTAATTATATTTTTATTCCATACCTATGGCGCCATCTGGTAGGGATTTTGAAAAATATTGATTTGAAGATTCCATAATATTCGTAATAATGAATAAAAAATTATAAGGTACAACTTTGATATAGGTCCCCATAGGCGATATATATTGTTTTGGCGACTTTTTACGTTGTTTGGCGCCAGTCGCGGTTGTTTTAAAACGAAAGACGCCATTTTCGAAAATTCTCGTTCTTTGGAAATAAAAAAAAAACTAGATTCCCAAGATTCAATGAAAAAGCGCAGCTACGATGTTCCCGCTTTGCTAAAAGCGAAACCGCTGATGTTTTTTTAAGTTTAAAAAATTTGCCCGGAACGCGTATGCAGAAGAATTTTTTGTCAATAGAGCAGAACAGCCGCCATGTTTCGTTAGGCAACAAAACCGTCTCCATGTTTGTTTACGCAAAAAAGTCGTCAATAATACAAAATCTCGCCATTGGGGACCTATATCAAAGTTGTTCCAATTATAAATTAAAAAAGTAGAAAATGATTCAAATTAAAAAACTTCTAATGATAAGAAAATTAATAATAACTGCTAATTTTTAGTACACTAATAATAGTGCGTTTTTAAAAACCTGTTTATATCAAATTTGTTTATTTATTTTTCCCTGCTCCATAAAATTAAGTGATTTTCTGTCTTATTTCTCTAATAATTAGCAGTTATCGTCGCGATTCATGCTGTTATGCTTTCTTACATTAAGATTAATAATTAATTTTATAATATATTTATTACTAAAGAATTGAGATTAACCTCTTCATGTCAGGCCAGTCCGTCCTGCTTAAATTTTAATAATCAACTCTATTAATTGAAAGTCTTTCGAAATTAATTTATTAATCAATTAAATGTAGATTGTGTGGGAAGAAAGTTTCCTTCTTTATATCTTTTATACATCTCTCCTACCTGTCTGTCTTGTATTATGTGCCACGAAAGGATGTCACAATTTTTGTACTAGAGGTTTTTTCATAGATGCCACCTCTTAAAAGTTCCGCTGCTCTTTTTTCGTCCTAGATACTTAAATACTTAACTGCTCTTGTATAATAAAGATTATTTGCATTTTAATAACCATAACGTAGTCACATCGAGACTAAAATAATTTCCAGCCAAATTCCGATGAGTTACATGCCACGAAAGACTGTCACAACTTTAGTACTAGAAGTTTTTTGATAGCTTCCACCTCTTAGAAGTTCCGCTGCTCTTTTTTCGTCCTAGATACTTAAATACTTAACTGATCTTGTATAATGAAAATTTTTTGAATTTTAATAACGTAGTCACATCGAGACTAAACTAAATTTCTAGCCAAGTTCCGATGGGTTACATGCCACGAAAGGCTGTCACAATTTTTGTTCTAGAATTTTTTTATAGTTTTCACCTCTTAGAAGTTCCGATGCTCTTTTCTCGTCCTAGATACTTAGATACTTAACTTCTCTTGTATAATAAGGATTGTTTGCATTTTAATAACCATAATGTAGCCACATCGAAACTAGACTCAATTTCTATTCAGATTCCGATTGGTTACATGCCTGGAAAGACTGCCCATGTGGAAACAACTTAACTTTGTTTGCGTTTTTAAAAATCTTTTTTGAGTTGAACTTTACGAATATGTAATAACCTGTATCGTCATGTTCTTTAAGTCAAGTTGGAATCCTAAGTTCGTTAACCCTAATTCTGTTACTTCAATGTACCTTTTCTTAAAATCTGTTATAGATATATGTTTGAAATTTTTTATAGAAGTACCTTTCTCATTATACTGAAATAAGCTTTTGGTTAATTTTTAATTTTTTATAAATTAGCAAAATATTTAATTAGACATAGTGAAATTTTACCCTATTTTGACACAAAAAAATTGTAAAAAATAAAGTTTTAAGTTTTTTAAAAAACGCTCATTTCGGTATAATGAGAAAGGTGTACTTTACTTGTATAAAAAGTTTCAAGCATGTTTCTATAACAGATTTTGAGAAAAGGTACATCGAAATGGCCAATTTCACATTTTTTGTTTTGACTCAAAAAAATTTGCAAAAAATAAATTTTTGAATTTTTTAAAAAAAAATCACATCAGTATAATGAGAAAGATGTACTTTGCTTGCATAAAAAATTTCAAACATGAATCTTTAACAGATTTTGAGAAAAGGTACATCGAAGTAACAGGGTTAGGGTTAACGGACTTAGGGTTCCAACTCCCCTATAGAAAGTTTTTGAGGTAAGAAAACCCCGATAAAAATTTGTGGATACCCTGTACATCTTTCTCTCCTCTACGTACAGCCGCAGGGACAGAGTATTGCCTTTGGGACTGAAGACTTCCAGATTCGATACTTGATTGATATTTCCAGATTCAATACTTGATTGATATTTCGCGATTCGATACTTCATAGATATTTTGCGATTCGATACTTGATGTATATTTCCGGATTCGATACTTGAATGATATTTCATGATTCGATACTTGATTTATTTTTCTCGATTCGATACTTGATTAATATTTCCAGATTCGATACTTGATTGATATTTCATGATTCGATACTTGATGTATTTTTCTCCATTCAATACTTGATTGATATTTCATGATTTGATACTTGATTGATATTTCATGATTTGATACTTGATTGATATTTTCATATTCGATACTTGATTAATATTTCCAGGTTTGATACTTGACGGATATTTCCAGGTTTGATACTTGACTGATATTTTCAGATTCGATACTTGATTGATATTTGTAGATTCGATGCAAAGATTCGCGATGTATGCGGGCCTGCTCCCTTTTTAATATATCAGCGTAAGGCAAGGTATAGGTGACATGGGTATGAATAGGCTACAAGCTGAGACGTCATCAACGCCATCCGAGAGAGCGGTTCAAAATTACGAGGTTCATCCTAACACTTTCTTCATGTTGCTTGAAAATGTAATGGAAGAATGGTTGAAGATAGAACCTGTTTATTTGTTGTTTACTTCGATTAGTTTAGTTTGGCTTAGTTACGTTTACGTCCCGTTTTGCAGCAACACAAGGGGTATTTTGGGAGAGATCTCATAACTTTCAACCGTGGGCAGATAAAGAGAACGGCACTTCAACCGGCACCTCCCTCTCCAAACTTCGGCGCCACACCAGCTGCCAACATGCTGAAAGCACAGGTTCTCCTCTGTTCACCACAGTTAAACATCATCGGGCGTGGTCAGTGCTTGGGAGAATGACCACCTGGGAACACCGTGTGCTGTTGGCATATTTTCCCTCCGGCTCCTTAATGCCTTAAGCCGGCCATTCGCTTGAAGTATAGCCGTGCCATTTGTCGTAAGCCTGGTTTTTTCCCACCCATTTTAATCGAAAAATATAGGCACGCCATTCACTTGTATTTAAAAAGGACGCTAACTCTGAACGAAGGTAGGGGGAGCGATCTTCTTTCTCTCTCTACAGCTGCTTTTCAATCGTTCTTCGATTTTCCCCAGTAGCAGATTTTAATTTATGCTACCCTCAAAGCGAGGCTTCAATCTACTTAAGGTATTGCTCTTTTCGCTAGCCTCTTTCAGGGTCCCTCTGAAGCGCCAAATTTCATGGATGTGAGTGAGGATTCGTCTGGACATCGCGCTTGCGCGCGCATACACAAAAAAATATTGCCATTTATAAGTATAGAAAATTTTTAGGTTTCTGTCAAATTTTGGACGAAATCCGTTTACGGGAAGTCTGTCTGTCTGCGTTCATGTGAACACGATAACACAAAAACTTAAAAAGGTCGATGGATAAAATTTGGTGCGCAGTTTTATCACTGGGAATGTAGGCCCTTATAAAAGTTTGGGCCAAATCTGTTGAAGCGTTGACTGTCTGTCGGTCTGTATAGTCGCATACTTGTGAACACAATAACTCCTTAACACAATCAATGACTTAGATAAATGAAATTTGGTATGTGAACTTCTAACCCTAATTGTAAATTTGAGTCTAATTTTTGCTTCAATCGGTTAAAAAAAGCTTTCAAATTGCAAATTTTGTTTTCTTTATCTTACGCAGCCCTACTGGCGCCGGCTTCTTGATTTCACTTTCGCCTTGCTGCTGGAAATTCGTGGTAAGCCGTTTCGCTTATTTTTTCTCCACCTGTGTTAGGGACGCTTCGTGCATTTTACTGTCTTTTAGCTTATTTTTTCTCTGCATGTCTTAGGCAGTATACGAGAAAGTTTAGGGGAGAATCACTCGCGCTGGTTTGAATCTCGTGACGACCGTTAATCCCCAAAAGGGGAAGCTATAGAGTAAGACTGACTTTATGACTGGTTTGCAAGGCAAAATCTTAACAGCGCCAGCATGATGCTAAAGATACAGTGGAACTTTGGAATTGGAATTCGTCGGTAATTCGAATTGTTTTCTCCGGTCGCTTGAATTTCGTTTTAACATATTATTAAAAGTAAAATTATCAATAACTCGACTTTATTTTGGCTAGTTCAAAGTCAGAACTAAACATTATCAACTTGTCTTCATTATTTAAATATCTCCGTACCGTCTCCTTTGTGATCGGGAGTGAAGGAGTTTTTAAGACCCTTGATTTTCGTGAGTACATTCTGTACAATGCATTCAATAAAAAAAGGGAATGAGAAATTTCTCAAACTTTGAACAATTTAGGTGTAAATTGCACAGTTTATTTAGAAGTTTCATCGTGCAATTGTCGCGTTCAAAGTGCTGTAAACTAACTTTATATTAATTATTTTAGTTTCTTTACTAGAATTATTATTTTTAAAATTATTCAAAAAATTAGTTTTAATTATTATTTTATTTATTAAAATTACATACTGTTTATTTATTAATCGTAGATTATTTAATAAACTTTTAAATATTAAAAATAAATAATTTTTTATTATTGTACTCACTTTTAGACCATTTTCTTTTAAATGGGATTTTTAAATAAATTGAATTTTTATTGTGGTACCGTTAGCGTCAAATCATCCATTAAATCAAATTCCGTTGCATGACGAAATCTGAGATGCAGCTAGTTCGTGCGCATGCGCCACGTGTAGTTCGTTCTGTAATCTACCAGAAAATGTGGGAAGTTACATAAATAAAAAAACAGCGACTAAAATGGGTAAAAAGTAGAAAAAAAAGCATTCCGTTTATCGAAATTCTATCAGCCAAGTGACTGTGAGTTCCGATTCACGCTAGATGGCATCTAATTTGCGCCGTGCTGCGTAACTCACATGTCAACGCGACGTGTTCTGTTCTCTTATTACATATGGGTTCGAGATTTACTTTGGGCTTCCATCTTTATTTTTTTAAGCACCCGTTCCGCGTTCTTTGATTAAATTTTCACAGGAGTTGTTATTACTTTCAGAAAGGACTAAAGTGTTTCCGTCCAAAATTTCTTTCTTAATTTAATTATGGAGTGTAGTGTTTTGGTGGAATCGATTGCATTAATTAAATTTTCTTCTGTTTTCGGAACATTTTTTTTATTCTATTCTTCGTTCCCGCGCTTTTATGGAGAGGGATATGACGTATCATAACAATTTTGTTTGTTGGCTTTTTATGAAATTTTCCCCGTTTAAAGTCACGCTCGGATGACGAAAAAAATCGTCTGCTCTTTATAATAACATTCTAAATTTCGTAATTAAAGCGTGGATCTGAAGCTTTTATGAAAAAGAATTAGAATTAAAATACTTGGGTTATTTGGTCGTAGAAAAGTTGGGTTGGGGAAAAAAGTATTAAATGGAGAATATTTCCGTTAATACTTACAAAAAATCCCGAGCTTATTTAAGTTTTGTGTATCAAAATTTAATTTGAAACATTAAAATGGCAATACAGAATCCAATGTGAGTCGATAATAATAAAAAAATAATGTCTCTTGGCTAGCAACGCAGGGTAGATATTTGAACTTAGAATTACGAAAATTGGCACGTATACTTTTTATGGCCCTGAAATGTGTTTCGGTACTATTTGAAGGAAATTTCAATACGTTTTTTAGCAATTAAAGTTATAAAGAATTATATGATTTTTCAGTAAGGTTTAGTTTGTCAGTAATTTGCATAATATTCATCCTATAGTAATGATTTTTATACCAGTTTTAACAATAAAAAAGCAACTTTTTCATTTATGTTGATACGTTTGTGGAGCCATTTTCTTTTCTCTAAAAATTTCTAAAACTGTTCAGATAGATTAAATTTTTACTTCTAAAAATTTTTAATCCATCAGTAACTTCTCTAAATTGAATTCCATAAATAGTTTTTAAGCTATAGAAATCCAAACTACTGAATACTCTTTAAATTTTATTCACGAATGCTATAAAGAATGAGGAGTGTTTTAGCCATCATTAACGACGTGAACTTAATTAATTACGGTTTCGTGACAATAATTAAATGTTAATTTCTTATTAATTGTAATTAAGTTTAAGAAGTGCTTTCATTAGTGTACTATAGAGTAGAAAATACATTTGCATTCAAAAATATGGTAGACAAAATAAAAGTTTAACAACGAGCTGAAAACAATATGATAAGAATATTAAGCCACAACGTATATCACAAAAAAAGAAATTTGTAGACATTGATTAACAATTTAATCTATTATAAACGTCATTAAAATTCCAATTTTGTTTTGTCCTTCATATTTTTGATCAAAAAAATTATTTTCTACTTTTTAGAAGGCGAAGTATGTTGTAAGAAAATTTTTATTAGTAGTAGCCCTCAAAGGAGCATCTATTACGCTAATACAACCCAGATGATAAAGAGGACTTAAGCCATTTGTGCCCTACAAATAATTTCCATTTTGTGTTAACTTCAAATCCAGTAACATGTTTTTATACGACTTCATTTCCAGTGACATTTCTGCTTCAATGGCAACAGACCCCTTTATCTTTTGCTCTCCCGATTTAGTTTCCCACACGTAAACCACAACACTTCCTTTCATTTTCTGTTTTCATTTCCCACAGAAACACAATTTTCTTTTCTTTCATATATTTGTCATTTTATTTTTTTTTTCTTTTGCTCCCAAAACTTCTGCTTTCGGAATCGAATTCATGCATTTATTTTCGTCGAAATATCGCTTGTAAACCCTCTTCTTTTCCACGTTTCTGGATATTGAAGAATTCGATACGTCGGTGATGGGGGTTGGGGAGTTGTGAAATTCATTGAGTTGGAGGTCTTGGAGGAAATAGTGTGATTCTGAATGGGGAGTTGTTGGAACACAGAACAGATTACCATTTCGTACTCGCCCCTACACACACACACACACAC